CTGACCAGGGGTTGTGTCTCACCAACAGCACCTGACCTTTTTTGTGAGGTTGGGCAGAGTATGATTGGAAGCAAAAATAGTAACACTCTTTACAAGTACAGAGAGGCTAGGAGCAGACAGGCAACTGGGATTCTTGTGACATGGGTTCAAATCCCCACAAAGCAGGCATGTGGGTTTTGGAATTGCTACTTAATCCACTCCTTGATCCTATCACCCTACACTGATTTTATTTTGATTTATATATATTTGCCTGATGCTTCTGACAGCCTTGCTTTTACAAACTAAGAGTCTCCATAAGCAACATTCTTCTCCAGAAAGTATCAGGAACCAGCCAAGTAGAAACAGCCTTGTAAGTATCCCTGTCATGCGGGAGACCGGGGTTCGACTCTCTGACGGGGAGCCACTACTACTGTCCAGCGTGGAATCGAGATTCCTAACATCTGTCGTGCTGCAATATGGTCTACCCTATTGACCTTTGTTAGGCATTACCGCATAGATGTGAGAGCACGCAATTATGCTGGATTTGGCTGATTTGTATTGGCATCCTTCCTACCGTGACGTTCCACCATCCCGGTAAGTGAAGCTTGCCAGTCACCCATTTGTGTACATTTGCTGAATGTCTCGGAAGATTTTAGAGATTAAAAGTACAGTTAGTGGGATGCACCCCTGGGGAGCACATGCTCCACCCACCTAAGATTCCCCTCAGTTCCTAGAATTTGTCCGCCGGGCAGAAGAATCATTTAATATAACCCATGCCGGACATAGGGGAAGATGTGTGAATTCACAGAGGACCACTAGAAGAACCATGGTTACAGGTAGGTAACCTCTTTTTCTTCTTCGTGGGCCAAGTGGGACTCTGCAGGAGAAGCCTCCGGCCAAGTACAGAAGAGTTCAGCCCTTGCAAGAGAGACAGACCAAGCACTCGAGGAAACAGGTGCCATTGTTCCTGGAGGCCGGAAGCCCATCCCTGTTGAGAAGGGTTCATTACCGGGCAGGCATTGCGCTCCGAGCTAGGGAGTGGCTGCTGGTAGAGAAAGGCTCAAAGTCTTTACGCTAAAATGTACACCCACTCTTAAGTTGCACTTGCTCCTCCCAGATCAAAGGTTTTTTTTAAAAAACATCCGTGAATATTAAAGAAACAGGAGAAAATGCCAGAACTTTAATGTGGGGGAAAAAAAGAATTATCCACCTCTTAAACGTGATGGAAAATCAGGAAAATTTAGCCCCCCCCATCATGCGGACTTAATAGGCTATTAGCATGAACCTAAAAATACATGGACTTTAGACCAACCCAGTCTGTGAGGGCAGAACAGGCTTTCCTTTATATTACTTGATTACCAATGGGTTTTTTTTAAACGGAGTACTGTATTCTGTAGTTTTATTTGTGTTTTTAATATTACTTCTACTTAATATACCTGTTTAAATCTTTTTAAATACTGTAATGATTTTAGCTTTAACACTATAAGCCTCACTGTGTCCTTTGGGGAAAAGGTGGCACGTAAATATTATGAATACCTGCATAAATAAAATATCTTTTGAACGTACTGCATTCTGTTGATTGTATGGTTGTGCTTTTTGAGCCTAAGAAAGAAAGAGATCTCACCTGCCTTGCAAAGGTTGGGAGGATCTGGAAGTTGATTCTTCTCTTTTGGTCCAGAGAAAAGTGAGGAGGAGAATTCAACTCCGTCTCACCCCCTGCTTCGGGAGAAAAGAAAAAAAAGAGGATCATTCCAGAGGCTTTCTGCACAAGGATTGGAAAGGCAGCTAAGAAGCAGGTGTGTGTGCACAAAAGGTGACATCCAGAGGATATTTTTGGATCCCAAGGCAAGTTGCCAGGCTCAGCCCCTCCTCCCAAGCTCACCTCTACCTTCTGCCCCAAAACCCTATTTGTGGGACTCTTTCCGGCCCCACTCCCCCCTGCCTGCACCTGCTGTCCCTGCTTCCCTACCAGGAAGGTCCTTGCAGCCTTAAAGTAACTTTTCCAAGCTTTGGCAAAAGAGGTGGGAGTGAGGTTCCTCCCCCCACCCCCGTGGACATCGAGGCCCCTTCCTCTCCTTGGATTTTGCACCCAGGGTTTGTGGGAAGGATAGGTGGAGTGGGGTGGGGTCTGCTCACGGGGAAAACCCAGGACGACACCCCCCTTTGCACATGCATGCACACACATTGGGGCATTACAGGGAGGGGACCTGAGGACAAGATACAAACTCCCCCCTCCTCCCTCTCGAATATTCCCCCCCTCAAGAGGAGACCCCAAGAAAACAAAAGGCCTTCCTTCTTGCAAAGGCGTTCCTACCATCCAGACGGAGGGGGAAGATTTGTATTCCGGATCGTGTGGAACCCCCCCCTCACTCCACGCACACACAAACACACACTCTCATCCTCTCCCCCCCACAACGTCCTGCGATTGCCCACCTTCCAAGTCCTGATGCGGGAAGACTCCCCAGGAAGCCCCCCTCCCAGGAAGCGCCTCTCCCCCCCCAGCCATAGAGGTGGAGGGGGAAAGAGAGGCCGGCGCACCGCTCCCACTTCCGGGTCGACGCAGAGCTCCTCTCCCAGCCGCCGCTCTAGCCCTCCGTCGCTCTCTTGTTTCCCTCCTCCTTTTTTTTTCGTCCCCAGGAGAGAGAGAAGAAAGCGGGGGTGGGGGGAGAGTGATTGACAGGAAGTG